CGCTCGGCAACGCGCCTGCGGGAGGGGTGGAGTCAGAGGGGTGGCGGCGAGAGTAGGGGTGGAGTCAGAGGGGTGGCGGCGAGAGCAGAGGTGGAGTCAGAGGGGTGGCTGCGAGAGCAGAGGTGGAGGGAGCGGGGGAGGCGGCGGAAGGGAGGGGGGGGGGAGGGGGGGAGGCGGCGGGAGGGGAGGCGGTGGGTGGATTCACCGCAGCCGAGGAGCATGTCGCGCAGCGAGGCGCAGTCGCCAGCGACGTTGGAGAGGCACCACACGGCCTGCTCGCGGGTCTCGACGGAAGGCGAGGTCTGAACGAGGTTGAGGAGCGGCGGGATGGCCCTGCGGGAGACGGAAAACATGTTGAAGAATCAAACAGGATTTGGGGGCGAGTCGCGGGTCGCAGGGAGGCGGCGTGGAGGAGGGGAAGTGCGTTGCGTGGGTGGCGGCGTGGGTTCGGACTAGGTGGTGCCAAACGGGGACGGCGGCCGCGGGTTGGCGAACGGGTGGGCGGCGGAGGCTTCTCACCCCGCGTCGACGACTGCCTTGGCGTGGTCGGTCGTGCCGGACACGATGTTGGTGAGGCACCAGGCCGCCTCGAAGACGACCGCGCCGGCGCCGCCGAGGAGATGGATGAAGACGGGTACCAGCCCCGCCGAGATGCACTCGTCGATGGGCGGGCCGCCCGAGAGGGAGAGGAGCTTCCGCAGCCGAGTCACCGTCGAGAGCGCCGCCGCGGCATCGCCGCAGCACCCGCCCCGGACGTACTCGTGCACAATCGAGGCGAGCCTAGGCACCTCCGCCGCCGCCGAGCAGGCGTTGGCGACCGCGTCAGCTGCGGCGGCTGCGGGGTCAGTGGGCTCCTCGGCTGCGGCATCGGCGGGCTGAGCAAAGCGTCTCTTGGCGAGCGTCTCGTCCTTCTTTGCCTTGCGGAGCTCGATCTTGTTCTCGTTGCGGCGCGAGCGGGCGTCGTCAGCGTCGAGGCCGCGGCTTCGGCCACGGCGGGAGGGGGAGCTTGGAAGGGAAGGCATTGCTCGTCGTCGTCGTCGCTCGTCGCCGCTTGTGGCCCCCACAACGTTTGAAGTTGCGTTTTCCTTCTCGTCCTTTTTTCGATCTTCTTTTTTAGACGGTTTGGCCGGCGCCATGTGGCGCCGGGCCCCGCCCTCCAGGGCGTGGCGCGTCTAGTGCCAGCGACGCAAACGGCAACGAGTAGTGTTGCACCTCTCGCAAGTGTTTTGCGACGGGTAGTGTTGGGAGCAACACGACGCCGATCGTTGAAAGTACCTCCTGTATCGGAGTTTTGTGCTATTGAAGAGGTGTGAACGTGAACAGAGTCATACCAGCACCGTGGCTGGTTACGGCACGCATGGGGGGCCTCCCGGACGTATGACCCTAGCCCAATAAGTCCCACAGAGCACATTTCGATTTTTGACAGAATTAAATGCACTGCCCCCGCACGGTACTAACTATCGTAGTTTTGTGCCGGGTGCCCTTCACGGCACCACACCGCCGCAAGACAGCCCGAGATTAGCCTAGCAGCGAGTGGGCATCGCCTGCCGGTCGGCTGGGCACGAGCCAAGCACTTGGGCGGCCGTCAACCGAGTCCGAGCGGCGCCTGAGGTGGGTGCCACGGCGTCTGCACGAAGGCGTGGCAGGGTGAGGATCCAGGAGTGGTGTCTGGTGAACGCCTCCCCGTCGGGCGCGCGGCGCGCCGGATGGTCCGCCGAGGCCGCAGCCGCCCCGGCGGCGGCGATGGGGGCGGCGGGGCCGACCCGGCCGGCGTTTGTCGGCTCCACCTACAGAAGAGCAGTCTCTGTGGGTCGACGATACTAACTCGGTAGTAACGCGGAGCGGTGCTGTGCGGCGCCGAGTTGTGCGCGAGGCGACCTCCTGAGGCTACCTGAGCTGGCAATGGATGCCACCAGGACGCACGGCTAGCAGGAGCCAGTCAGGCATGCCCTGCTGTGGAGCAGAGCCGGCTGGCGCACCGGCGATACTAACTCAGCGCGCCGCGAGAGGCGAATCTGGGCGACTTTGGAGGCGCAGTTCTCGAGCTTGCCGTCGACGATTGATGTCGGGTAAATTGTCACTGCCGTCCGGGAAGGTCTTCTCTCAACAGGCCGAGCGCCGTGGCCTGGCTCGGCTCGCCGCGGACACGGCACGAATTTATCGCGCACAAAACTCCCGAGACCTCGATACTAACAAAACTCCGATACAGGAGGTAGCAACCACTCACACACGCCTCTAACCAACTGGCTCAGTTGAAGAGGCCGCTCCCACAGCTCTCACACCTATCTCTCTGGTACATGTACACAATATTGGAAGCGTTGTGGACCATTGGCCTCCTAAATCTCTCTCTCTCTCAACTCTCTCTCCGTAAGTAAGACTTCGGAGAAGGCATAGAGCTGTAGAGCTCTACATCCGGCGCATGCATGACGATTGACGATGTGGAGTCCGATGTAGAATAAAATATTCTTACCTTCAAGCCCCCCTCCGAGACTAGGGACAGTCACACCCCAGTATCAGACCAGGGGGAGTGCCCCCCGCCCCCACTTGCCCTGACTGCGCAGGATAGCGTGCCCCGAAAAACGGCGACACATAGCGGGGCACACTGCGCAAGGAGAGGGTGCGAAGCCAAGATTGGGGTTCTAGGTTCGCTCCCCATCGGTGACTCGCGAAGGACACGGACACTCGGGGTGGGGGGGGAGGGGTCCCCCAGAGAGGGGGCTTTGGGTGGGGCCTTGTTGGGCCGGGAGTCCGATGTAGTTCATGTAGAGGCGCGCTACAATGTGAAATCTCTACAACAAGCCTAGAGAACACAGCCCCCTCTCCCTTTTCTCCCAGTCAGTAAAAGTACTTGGAGCACTTGGAGTGCAGTACGTACAACAACTCTATATCATAAGCGGCGAACGAGGCACGGCGCTCTCCGACATGAGGCGCGTTGCACTTGCCAGTGCTGCCCTGGCCTTCTGTCTGCCCGCCCAATGGGTGGCAGGTGCCTCTGCTGCTGTGGCATGCCTCACGGCTGCGACTGGCCGGCGCCTCGGCGCGTCAGCTCGGCTCGGCGTAGTGATTGTGGCCAGCCCAACTCGCCTGGACTCAACGCTAAGCCAGGAGCTCCCGCACGCGCTGGCGCGAGGCATGGCGCATGCAACGCGCAGCAATGCTCGCCTCGCCTCGCGCAAATGCGACCGTCCTCGCAGCCGACAGTCCACCGCCTGCTAAAGAAGCACTGCGATGAATGCGGCACCGGCGAGGCACGGCAGGCTGGTCATGACGCAGTCATAGGGTGTTGTGTGCCGTCAGAGGGACTCTCTATATGTCAGGGATAGTCAGGGCTGTCCATCAGAGCTCCAGTAAGCTCGGAGACACCCCATTAGCGCGGCTCGACCTCTTTGAGTCACTGCCTTCCCGGCGGTTTTGCTGTGGAGCCTCTACAGCAAAATCGCGCTCTACAGCCGAGTCACCGTCGAGAGCGCCGCCGCGGCATCGCCGCAGCACCCGCCCCGGACGTACTCGTGCACAATCGAGGCGAGCCTAGGCACCTCCGCCGGCAGCAGGCGTTGGCGACCGCGTCAGCTGCGGCGGCTGCGGGGTCAGTGGGCTCCTCGGCTGCGGCATCGGCGGGCTGAGCAAAGCGTCTCTTGGCGAGCGTCTCGTCCTTCTTTGCCTTGCGGAGCTCGATCTTGTTCTCGTTGCGGCGCGAGCGGGCGTCGTCAGCGTCGAGGCCGCGGCTTCGGCCACGGCGGGAGGGGGAGCTTGGAAGGGAAGCCCGCATTGCTCGTCGTCGTCGCTCGTCGCCGCTTGTGGCCCCCACAACGTTTGAATGTTGCGTTTTCCTTCTCGTCCTTGTTAGATCTAAATGCTGTTCTCCACCTTCCTACATACATACAGACATGCTGTGTCGTCAATAGCGACTGGTTGCTGCCCTGTGAGCGTCCATAGACACCTCACACAAGCCCACACGTAGTCTCGTCCGTGGCTGCCTTGCGGACGGCCGGCGAGCGAGCGAGATTGCTAGAGGCGGAGCAGTCTGTCTGTGCTCTAGCCTCGCACGTTACCCCATGTCGCCTGTCTGTGTTGTTTCTGCTGTTGTCTGTACCCTTGGCACCGTGGGTGCTGGGGGGGCGACAGGGTTGGGGGCGTGGCCCAGAGTGGCGTAGTGCGGTACGATGTGTGGCAGAGCCCGCGGCTGGCCGAGTGTCTTGTGAGTTTGTGTGTCTGTGTGTCGCTCGCACGTGTCGTCCTCTCTTCTGTCCCGCGTCCACCCATACCGCTTTGGTGTCCAGTGTCCGGAGTCTGACTGTTCTTGTGCTTCTTCGCCTTTTCTTTCTGTATTTTTTATAATTACGATTATATGAATATATGTGTATTGTTGTGTATGCCTAGGGCGGAGGTGCAATCTCGAGGGTGCAATCGTGGTCAGACCCGTTATCGGTCTCAGTTCGAGCGTGCCAACAGGCTGAGAGTCCCAAGAGCTTGCGAGGTTTCGCGTAAACCGTAATGTTCCGTATTGCGGAAGGATGACACAGCCTGCGAATCAATCACACACGACGACACCATGAAACCATTGACACAGCATACGGGCATCTATTTTAGCGCCGCATCCACCGGGCAACGAGCGCCGCGGTCTCCTGCTTCGTCGCGCGGGCGTGCTGCTCGCTCTTTCGCTCCTCGCTCTCGGTTTAAATGCCCGGCGCGATTTCTTTCGCTCTCCTCCAACACTAGGCACAGGTACGGGACTGGCGCGCACTGGCACTACACAGGTACATACACCACGCGGGAGAGCCGATCGATATAAGATTCTAATTGTTGGTTTTCAAAAATATCTCAGATTCTCGTACAAAAAAACCTCTCCCGCACAACACCGGCCACGGGACTCACCTGACAGCACCTGACAACCTGACAGCCAGGGCTCAGCGTCATAATGTTAACGAAGACACCCAGTGACATCAAAACGCATCCTATTTGGCGTTTAGCATCTAAGCTCGAGCATCTAGGATGCGTGCGTGTATCATCTGTGTATGTAGATGGGGTGTCGCCGCCCCTGTGCCCTGACGCCGGGCGCCGACCATGTCGCGCCGCCCCGGAGAAATCGCCATGGAGGAGAAATGCCATGCCGCACCACTGCTAACTGGTCAGCGGGGCCAGCGCTGTGCGGGGGGCAAGGCCTGTTTGGCACGAAGAATAACGCGCGCACAAGGCGCGGCCGGGCGCCGCTTGCCAGGCAGTGCTGTCAGACGCCCTTACATCGCGCGCGCCTCCTCCCGCCCCCGCAGGCGCGCTCACTCTCCGGGCGCGCGGCATGTCGGCGTCCACGGCGCAGTCCTCCGCCCTGCGGCTCATGAGCGACCTCAAGACGATGAAGCAGAGCCCGCCTGAAGGCGTCAGCGCGAGCCCGATGTCGGAGGACAACCTCTTCGTGTGGGGGGGCACGGTCTTCGGTCCCGACGACACAGCTTGGGAGGGGGGCATCTACTCGATGCGGCTGACGTTCACCGATCAGTACCCAGACAAGCCGCCGCGCGTGCGCTTCACGTCAGAGATGGTGCGCGGCAGTGTCCCCGCCAGGGCCGTCCGCAGCGCGGCGGCGGCGCGTGGGGGCGGCGAGTGCCCGGGCGCCCTTCCCGGCCCGGCCCGACCTCCTTCCATCTCACCGCCACCACCACCTCGCCCTCCGCAGTTCCATCCAAACATCTACCCCGACGGCACGCTCTGCATGGACCTGATCCAGGACAACTGGTCCCCGATCTACTCGGTCTGCTCGATCCTCATCGCGATCCGTTCGCTGCTGACGGACCCCAACTGCGCGAGCCCGGCCAACCCCGAGGCGGCGCACCTCTACCAGACGGACAAAAAGCAGTATGGCCGGTGCGCAGTGTCCCGCTCCCCACCACTGTCCCCACTCACCACGCCGCACCCCTGGTCCGCCCGTCCGCTGCCGAGTGACCGGCACGCGCCCCTCCGTGTCGTCTCCGCGCCCCCTGCCTAGCCCGCACGCCCATGCACGGTTCGCCACCAACGCGTCCTGCATGCGCGCGCCCGCAGGAGAGTGCGCCGCGTCGCAGAAAAGTCTGTGGGCGGCTGATTGCCGCGGGCAGAGAGGGCGGGTGACACTTGATTCTGGGCGAGTGGGCCGCGCGCGTTGCCGCGAATGGCGGCAGCGCCGCGCTCTGGGTATGCAGTGCATGGGCACGGCGCGCGCAGCACCGCGGGGCTTGTGCGCAGAGGAGGACGGGGCATGTCGTCTCCTGGAGTCCGCTGCCCGGGCCGTGTGGTGTGTCGGGCGGGACCTCCCGGGGCGGCGCGGAGGGCTCCGATGAGGTCTGACGCGCGATCCCGTCTGTGTTGCGCCGGGTTGTGGCTGTGGGGTGGTTATCTCCGTCTCTGTGTGCGCACGCGCTCGCGGCGCTCTCGCTGCTGCCGAGGCACGCTCGAGCTCGCGTCTGCGCACATTCCCCCTGCAGCCGTTGTACACATGAAATAACACATCGAGAGAGCGTAGAGTGTCTCTGCACTCTGGGTTTCAACGACGACTCACACTCGTCACACGCGTGTGCCGCGCTCTGGGACCGCTCTGTCTCTGCAGGCGGCCCCAAAAGCCCCGCTAGGCGCTACCTCTGACGAGCTCCGCGATAAGGTAGTCGTCCGAGGCCCAGCTCCGGCTCAGCCGCAGACCCGCTGCCTCGGCCAGCCGCCGCGTCTCCTCCTCGCTGAACTTGCGGCTCTGCTCGACAAAGACGCGCTCGCCTGTGGCACGGGCCCTCAAGCTCAGCGCCGGTCCGCGGAGGCGAAAGACGCTGTGCACTGCGGCGACACACCTGCCGCGAAACGGCGAAGCTCCCTCCGCCCTCCGCCCTCCGCGGGGACGGAGAGGACGACGGCCCGCCGCGCCTCCACGTGGGTGCGCACCGAGGTGGAGGCGGCGTCGTACTCGGCGACATGCCTCGAGGCGGGAAGGGGAGGGGAGGGCGGGGTGCGCCACGGAGCGAGTAGTGCGTGGTCGGCGAGAAGGCGACGAGGAGTGAGAGACAGGAACGCCAGCCGGTCAGGGGTGGGGGGAGGGGTGGGGGGAGGGGTGGGGGTGGTGAGAGACAGTCACCGCCAGTCTGCCGTGTCGAAGTCGGTGCCAGTGATGTCGTTGACGTGTGACAGCGCGTTGAGCGTGAAGGCCGCCGTCCAGCCCTCCTGTTCACAGGCCGTCGGATGTGAAGACGACGCCGTCCGACCGTCTCGTCTACCGGGGAGGGGAGGGAGGGGGAGAGCGAAAGA